CTCCAAGACGGCCAAGATGACCTTCAAGATGCCCACGTGTTCCCCGAAGGCTTTCCAAACCGATTCGGGGAACACATGGTCCGATAGCTTGGCAGGCCTCTGGCCTCAACGTTCGGCCACATAGGCGCTTCCAAAAAGGCAGGGGGCGGCGGTGATTCGCCGTAGGCGTCTTAGATAACGCCAACGTCCCAATATGCGCTGATGATTCCTATCCACCCCTGCATGTTGCTCCCAGATGCGCCAAGGCAGCGCCGAGACGCATCGACGCGACTCTCATATATCCCGTTCTGATAGAGAGGTGGCTGGCGGCAGGGGGTGAAGCCCTTACGGATATTGGGAAGAGTGAGCCTGCGATTAGAATCCGACGTTAAGCCACGGGCAAGTCACAACCTCGAAGTGAGAGGTATGGCAAGAATCCATTGGCCCGTGGCCACCACATTCAGAAGCGGGGTGCCTTTGAACACCGATGTTCGTGATGGAACTGGTCGCGGTGATCCCTGTGATAGGTTTCGGCTACGCCCCGGGATGAGGTTCACAAACCTCTGACGGGGATCGAGAAACATACCATTTTTGCCAAACACACCTACCTCACATACCACTGGGTCGGCGCGGCGTACCGTTTCCTTGTCAGTCTCACAAGGCCTTTGCTGAATGATGCCGCTCAAGCGGAAGAGGATGAGGAGGAGGAGGGGCAAGAGGAGGAGGAGGAAGAGGAGGAGGAGCAGGAGGAGGAGGAGAAGGAGGAGAAGGACGAGCAGGAGTAGGAGCAGGAGTAGGAGGAGGAGGTGGAGGAGGAAGAGGAGGAGGAGCAGGAGGAGGAGAGGGAGGAGGAGGAGGAGCAGGACCAGTGTAAACCCACAGCTCATCAACGATGTTGGAATAAGCCCTTTACCCAAACTCCCTCTTCATAGGCCCCTACATGGGTTCGTTTCCACTGAAGGAACTGCCTCGTTGGGAGACAACCCTCTGACGACCTTGAAATGTGCCCAAACAGCGCCACGGATCAACTTGAGTGTTGCGTCGTGACGATCCTGAATCGTACCAAAACGCCATTGCTGCGACGTCAACACAGCGAACCAACGTAACTGTTGCAGCCCCACAATCCCGAATCCTTCCAAGCCGCAATTTCTGGTACGTTGACCACTGGAAGTTATGAAATTCTTGCAAATTTGTAAAGCAAACGAGAACCACATTTTGAAAACGAGCCGCCCTCAATCCGTGAAGCTCTTGCAAATTTGTAGACGAGGGGGGAAAAAGGTGCTGGCCAGCGTCGCCGGTGCATCGGGCCACATCTAAACTAAGTTGGAAGACCCGAAGCTTGCCGAGGAGCGGTTCCGGACGGGCCGCATGCTTGCTTGGTTCTGGGGCACAACGGCTCGTTGAATCATGGTGCGCGCAAACAAAGACGCGCAGTCTGTTGGGCAAGTCCTCTGCCTACTTCTGGCCGCCGGCGTGTCCTCGCCCCCGCTGCCAGTGGCCATGGTCGCGAAGCTGCTGAATCAAATCGAACCATCAATGACGGGCGACATGCGCAAGATGCTGCCGCTACACCTGGGCATGCGGGTTCATCTGCTGGAATACCTGGAACCTGGACCCGAAACGGAATCTGGTCAAGGGCGCTGGGAGCGAGGTCGTGCGCGTGGTCATCAACCCTGTCGACGAGGGGGACGTGCGACGATTGAGAAGCGCCCCGCGTTCTTGCGCTACTTGCCCTTCGGCGTGTCCGCGTGGACGATGGCCAAGCCGCGCATTTCTGCGACTAGTTGGCGGAGCACGCAGAAGGGGTTGGACGTCTCGGACGCGGCACAACTCATCGAACCGGCCCGCTCCATGCGGTTTCCGCAAGCACAAGGTCGCGCGGACAGACTTGTGCCAGAACCGGATCGCGCACGAGGGCGCCATCATCGACGCCGGGCGCAAAGAAACCGATGACTTGGACGCCACTTGTACGTTCCGAGGCGACGGCGGCTGACAACCTCGTTATCATCCGCGCCCCAAACTTGGACTTCTTGTCCGGGGGTCCGCCAACGGACCTGGCCGAGCGCCTCTGGACTTCTTGTGCGCGCTTTGGGAGCTGCAGGAAGCAGCCCACGAAGTTGGCGCACGAGCTCGGCGGAGCTAGATTCCCGCCAGACTGAAGGGAACGGGGCCCGCCAACGGATTCCAGCGCAGCGTGCACGGTGGCTTCTACTTTCGCGGCGCCGTCGGCGATGGTTGCAACGGGCCGCGACCAATCGAATACATAGAAAAGCCGTGGATCCGTCCCGTCCTGCCGCGCGCGCCGCTGCTGCATCACAGAGCGCAGAGCGCTGGAGTGTCAGGTAGCGCGTGGCGCAATTCTCAGTGGCCCGCTTCCCCCCTCCCCCTCCTCGGGTGCCCATCGCCCGCAGCAGACCCAGGAGTGAGCCGAGCAAGTGTAGCCCATGGTGCTCTTCTTTTTGCTTCTCCTCATGCTCTCGTCCAGTTTTCTCCGTTTCACGCTCCTCGCCCTCCCCTGCCTCTTCCTTTTCTTCGTCGTCCTCCTCCTCCTCCACCTCCTCCTCCTCCTCCTCCTCCTCCTCCTCCTCCTCCTCCTCCTCCTCCTCCTCCTCCTCCTCCTCCTCCTCCTCCTCCTCCTCTCTTCTGTTTACCTCGTCGCATGCTCCCTGGTGTGCCCATCGTCGCCATCCCTGGCACAGCCTGCAATTGCCGGGGCGCGTGCGGTGCATGGGCGGGCGGCGCGCGTGCCCCGCCGTCGGTTGGCGAGTGTGGCATTCCTCGTTTTTTTTTTTTTTTTTTTTTTTTTTTTTTTTTTTTTTTGTTGTTTTCTTTTTTTTTTTCTCTCTCTCTCTCTCTCTCTCTCTCTCCTCTCGGGGAAACGTAAGACTCGGGCTCGGGGGACTCGGGTTGGCCCGTCCCGGGGCCATCATGAAAATGACGAGACCGAGTCGCAAATTCGACGCGGGCTCCCGCTGCAGGCGTCCCACGAAAACAGAGCCGTCAGAACTCCATATGGGCTCGTCCGAAAGCGTAGGTGAACCCAAGGTCCGGCTTACTCGAATCTTGCGTCTCCCCGATCCTCGAGGGGGTGCTCCAGTTGACGGCCGCCCCGCACGGAGAAAGGGGTTGAACGCGTCTCGGGTAACAAACCTTGCACCAGCCGTGCCGCGACGCCGGGCGCTCCCTGTTCCCCCCCCCCCCCCGCGGCCCTAACCCTTTGAGCAGGGACCGACCGCCCCGGCATTCCTATATTTGGCCTACCACGACATGTTCTGAGAACCCAGAAACGATTCTAACAACAAAAACAATGCTCTTATAACATAAGCCCGATTTGTTAAAACCAAATAGTTTCTGCCAGTGATGTTCTAAACACATCTCGTGCAGACCACAAAAGGTTCTTAGAACATTCTTTGGTGGGACTATGCAGTAGGGACCCAACCACAAGAAACTTTCCACAAGAAACCCAGCCATGAGACCCTAGGCAGTCCATTGCTTTTTTGTACGGAAGCGTCACGCTTTCCATTGCAAAACCATCGAAACCCAAGAAACCCAGAGCACCCTGGAGGCAAGCAGGGTGTTTCTTGGCATGGGCCCCCACTGCTTGAGCAAGCCAGGACGCTTCGCCACTGCTCGAACGCTGCCAGGAGTTTCTGGGAGCGCCTCGGGAGGCTGCGCGCGCCGAGAGAGAACAGGGCGAGCGGCGGGGGCACACATCCGGCGCCAGGAGAGCAGAAGGGCCTCGCGCCCACGCGGGGCGCCTCCGCGAGAAGCTGCGGCCCCGAGGCCCAAGGGGATTCCGACGGGCTCGGTGCCCGGCCATCCTGGCTTCCCCACTGTACCAGTGGAAGCTGGAGAAACCCATGGCTGGGCCCACGTGTGGAAAACCTGGAAGTCACGCGCTGGATATGTAGAGCTATATGTTAATATATATATGTCTATATCCAATCGAACCTAGGACAGAAGGACATCCCTCAAGAGCACGAGACCCTCCGCGGGCCAAAACACATAGAGCATCCAAGGATTCCGACGGGCTCGGTGCTCAGCCATCTTGGCTTCCCCGCTGTACCAGTAGAGGCCTCCTAGATGGGGTCCGAGCACATGGGGTCGGAGGATCTCGTCGCATCGCCGATACATCGGCGATGCATAGCGAATGCATCTGCGAGGCATCGGCCATGCACTGGCGACGTCAGCGAGCCATCGGCGACGTCGGCGTGGAGAAAATTGGCCCTCACATCGAGCCGCATCGCCGATGGATCGCCGATGCATCACCGATGCATCGGCGATGCGGTGAGATCCTCCGACCCCATCTACTCCGACCCCATCTAGGAGGCCTAGAACCAAGAAGCTTCAGACACACATGCCTGGGCTCACGTGTGAAACACCTGGAAAAACGCGCTGGATATATATATATATATATATAAATATGTATGCAAACCTATATGTATATATATATTTACCTTTCTATATATACACACTTTTCTATTCATCTATCTATCTATCTATCTATCTACCTATTTATCCATCTAACCATATATCTATATATTTATCTATCTATCTATATATATATATATCTATCTATCTATCTACCTACCTACCTACCTATCTATCTATCTATCTATATCTATCTATCTATATATCTATCTATCCATCTATCTATCTATCTATCTATCTATCTATCTATCTATCTATCTATCTATCTATCTATCTATCTATATATCTATTTTTTATATGTATATATATATATATATCAAATCGAACCTGGGACATAAATGAATCCTTCAAGAGTACGAGACCCTCCGCGGGCCAAAACGCATAGAGCATCCAAGGGTACCCTCCTCAGCGTGCACAAGAACATCCTACAAACACGGAGAACATTAATTAGGGTACCCTCCCCGAACCGACCTTGATCTCGCACCTCGGTCCAACTGTACACGCAAACACACACACACACGGAAGCCCAGCCTGCACGGCCGCTGACAGGCCGAGCGCTGGAAAGACACCCAGCCAATGCGTGTCCGATTTCCGCCCAGGCCGCGTCAATGTGCATTTGGGCTCCTGGCAGGACGCCCGAGGTAAACTGGCAGAACGCCTGTGGCCCCTCCGTCCGCGCACCCGCGGCGCTGCTCCGTCCCTCCGCAGGTCCCCGAGTGCCCACCCCCCATCCCCGCCCTCGGTCGGAACGCCTGCCGTCCAGAATCTCCCCCTGCGGGTGTTGCTAGAAGTGCCCCTGGCCCAAGGTACCCCCAGGACTCACGAGGTGGCCAAGACGGCCTCCAGGGCACCCCTCACGAGGCCCAGAGGGCCCCCGGGGCTCCGAAGTGGAGCGAGAAGCTGGGGCCACCTTGGGCCAGGGGCACTTCTAGCAACACCCGACCCCTGGGGTCGGGGATGGACAGACCCCCCTGTAGTAAAGCGTGGTTCAGTGAAAACGACCTGAGGCCCAAACCTGGCGGGCGCGAGCCCGGAAAACAACGGCCACGGCGCCCTCTCGAGAACCGAACACGGACACTTCACGAAGCGACCGTGTCACTGTCGGGGGTTCAGTCCACCCCCGGTGGGGTACCCGGCAGCAGGAGCCCGGACCTCCGGGCGGTGCTCGGGGGAAGAGCCGCGCCGGGGCCGGGCGCTCTCTCCCCCCGAGGGCCGGGGGGGCCCGCGGAGACCAGCTGCTCGGCCCCCGGGGAGGCCCGCCACGGGGCGCGGCGGGCCGCCCTGGAGCACCACGTGTCTGGGAGGAGCTCGACCCTCTGGCCTCCGCCCAGCACCGCCTGGCCTCACTCCCCCTCCTCCTCCTCCTCCTCCTCCTCCTCCTCCTCCTCCTCCTCATCTCCTCCCTCCTCCTCCTCCTCCTCCTCCATCCTCCTCCCTCCTCCTCCTCCTCCTCCCTCCTCCTCCTCCTCCTCCTCCTCCTCCTCCTCCTCCTCCTCCTCCTCCTCCTCCTCCTCCTCCTCCTCCTCCTCCTCCTCCTCCTCCTCCAGGTCGCCGGGGCAACGCCGTCCGAGCGGGACGGCGTGCTGGCGCCGCCGCCTCCTCTGCGATGCTGGCGTCCGCTGCGCGGGGGGGTGGGGCCCCAGAGGCCTGCTGTGGGGATGAATCCAGAGGACGCGGCGTCGGAGGTCTGGGGCGTGCGGGGCCGAAAGGGAGAGGAAGGCCTCGACCTCCACTCCCCTGGCCTCGACTCCTCGCCACCTCCTTCTCAGCTCCTCCCTCTTGCCATCGTCGTCGTGTCGTCGTCGTCGTGTCGTCGTCGTCCTCCTCCTCCTCCTCCTCCTCCTCCTCCTCAAGAGAGCTGGGAGCTTCTTAGAAGAGGCGCCAGGGCGGGCGAGCGCCTGCGATCGCTCGCCGGAGCAGCCCCCCCCCCCCCCTGTCTGGGGGCCTCTGCCGTCTCGGGTTGGCACGGGGGGCGCGGGGCCTGAGGCAAGCGGGTCCTGGACCCTGGGGCTTGCCCCCCAGGACCACCTCTTCATCTTGAGTCGCTATCTATCTATCTATCAATCAACCAATCAATCAATCAATCTATATATATATATATATATCTTTCTACCTATCTATCTTTCTATATTTATATATATATATCGATATTTCATCTATCTATCCATCTAGCCATCTATCCATATATCTATCTATTCATGTATCCATCTATACATCTATCTATCTATCTATCTATCTATCTATCTATCTATCTACCTATCTATCTATCTATTTTTATCTATCTATCTATCTATCTATCTAATCGAACCTGGGACAGAAAGGAATCCTCCAAGAGTGCGAGACCCTCCGCAGGCGCCAGAACGCACAGAGCATCCAAGGGTACCCTCCCCGGCGTGCACGAGAACATCCTACAAGCACGAAGGACATTCATCAGGGTACCCTCCCCGACCCGACCTGGATCTCGCACCTCGGTCCAACTCTTCCTCTCGAGCCGCGCTTCGACGGCCCCGGGGCCCGGGGGAGAGCCCCGAGGGCCGGACAAGGCGGGGAGGAAGACCTCTCCTCCTCCTCCTCCTCCTCCTCCTCCTCCTCCTCCTCCTCGTCCTCCTCCTCCCCCTCCTCCTCCTTCTCCTCCTCCTCCTCCTCCTCCTCCTTCAGCTCCTGCTGCACGGCGATCGGGGCCTCTGGGCGGGGAGGGCCGCTGGGCGACGATCGGGGGGAGCCGAGGCGAGAGGATCGACGGCGGCGCGGATGGTGGCGGCCGGTGCTCTGTGCCGAGAGCCCGCCGAGCGCAAGTCTTCGGAGGCCGGCGGCCGCTACGCGGCCGGCCTCGGCCTTCCGTGCCTCAGAAGATCCGCCACCGTGCCGCGCAGCACGAGTGGGAGCGTCCTCAGTTTTTTTTTTTTTTTTTTTTTTTTTTGTGTGCCCCCAGTTCCTCAGGTTTGCTCAGGTTCCTCAGGTTTGCTCAAATGCCGGCGTGCCGAATGCATGCTGCCAGTTCCTCAGGTTTGCTCAAATGCGTACCGAATACATGCTGTCGTGTCCAAGCCTGGAGAAGTTGGGCACGAGGCCCAACAGCAGATGAGGTCCCAAACCGGCAGCGGCCGCCGTTGCACGGGCAAGCGAGCCCAGAATCGGATCGACGACTCGGATCGGCGGTCGAAACGAATCGGATCGGCGGGAATCGGCAGCCGAGTCGGGAGAAGTCGAACCGGCGGAAATCGGAAGGCTAGTAGGCATCAAGTAAGAAGCCGGAGTCCAAATCGGGAATCCGAAGTCTAATCGGATCGGAATCGCAAGCCATCGAAATCGAATCGGATCGAATCGGAGGGATCGAAACGAGCCCTGCACAGGCGACCTTTTTGTCTCAAGTAGACAACGTTTGTGACGACGCCGACGGCGAGTCTGTTAACATGTGCAAGAACTGCTGTCGGTCTTCGCCACCAGTCTGTCCGTACCCATTCCGATCTCGCCGATCAGCTCTCCGACGAAGGCGTCTATACACCACCACCATGTCAGGCCACGGCCATCCTGGGCCCTTGGATCGTGAACAGACCCTCCTGGCCTCGGCCAGGAGGGCGTATACACCATGCCAGGACCAAGATGGCCCTGGCTCGGCACGGTGGTGGTGTATAGATGCCTTCTGCGTAAGATCCTGACTGAATGGGCACTGTAGACATTGCCCAGACCCCCCAAAGCCGGATTTCCCGCGGGGTGTCGCGTGTCCCCGCGTGCCTCTGGGGGCTTCTCGTGAGACTTTCCCGGAGGCCAGGGGGCTTCAAGCCCGCCCACGAGGGCCCCTAAGAGGCCACCCTAATTGTCCAAGAAGGCCCCGAGGCGGCCCAGGAGCCCTCCAGGACGACTCAAGATGGCTTCAGGACGAACCAAGAGGCCCACAAGACGCTTCAAGAGGGCCCCAAGCGGACCTGCAAGACGGCCCCGATAGGCCCAAATCGTCCAAACCATTGTTGAACATGATTTTTAAATTGCCGCCTTTGGATGGTAAGAGCGTCGAAGATGGCCCAAGAGGCCCCCAAGAGGGCCCAAGAGGCAGCCAGTATGGCCCAATAGGCTCGCAAGCCGAGTCCAAGAGGCCCCCAATACAGTCGGGGCCTTGACCTAAGGAACCCAAAATAAGGAACGAGGCCCCTTTTTTCCAAAGGTTAAACTTCGATTTCCGATCGAAAACATAAGGAAAGCCTGAGGCAAGCTGCGAAACACTTCAGGAACATGGAGCCCCTCCCCAACCAAAAGGGTTCCTTCTTCAGGGCCCCGACTGTACGGTCCCAAGAGGTGCCCAGGAGGGGGAACCCGAACTGACCCCAAGAGGGCCCAAGACAAGAGCCCCCAAGATACCCCAAACTGGCTCCAACACTTGCCCCAAGAGCTCCAGAATCGCCCCAGGGGCCCCCCAGTTATTCCGGGGCGCCCCCACGAGGCCTCAGATTCCTCCAAGAAGCTCCCAAGAGGTCTCAAGAGGCCCCCCGTAGGCCCCCAAATGTCCGCCGCAAGGCTCCCGACAGGAATCCCAAGGTCCCCGCAAGGCATCCCGCGATGCAAACAGACGTATCCAAGAAACCTTTCACAAGTAACCCAGGCACGGTGACGAGATAGGTCGAACGCCACTAGATCGGCCGCTCCCTGTGCTTATTTTCAAGGGTGCTTGGCGTGCTCAATGTCTACCGTTCTGGAACTGATTAAAAGTTCCTAGTGGTCTCCGGCCCAATTCGCTGGCCACACGGGCGAACCATATCGGAACGGCCTTTTCCGCCCAATATGGCCTCAAGATGGCATCCAAGACGGCAAAGTTGGTCCATGATGGCTTTCAAGACGGTCAAGATGGCCCAAGATGTCCTCCAAGACGCCTCCAGGACGGTGAATATGGCACCAGGTCGGCCCAAGAGGACTCCAAGACGGCCCAACACTGCCCAAGAGGCACCCAAAATGCCCCAAGAGGGTTCCAAGAGGATCTCCCCGAGGCCCAAACCATTGATTTCCCAGAGGATTTAAACTAATGTTAGCGTTATCGTTTTTTTTTGGTTTGTTTTTGATTTTTTTGCTTCTGGCATCCGAAGACGACCTCACAGGCCTCCAAGATCGCCCCCAAATGTCCCCGAAGCCTCCAAGAGGGCTCCAAGACAGACCAAAAGAGAGCTCCAAGATCGCCCCAAGAGGCCCTTAGGACGGCCCCAGCGGACCCCCCGACAGCCCGAAAGCTCTCCAGCGAGGGCCACGACCCGTAGCTGTTCATCATGTACTACTGCTCGTCGCCGCCGTGTCGCCACCACCGCGCCATAGCATTGCTATCGTAGTACTTCGTCTGGCTCACTTACGCGCAGCCAGGAGTAACTTTAGGACATGCGAGCTTACAGACATCTCATCATCCTGTGCTCATTTTTGGCTTAAGAGGCGCTCGGTGAAGGCTAGCGTGAATATCTATGCTGGGAGGTTGATCATCTTCTCACTGGCCTGACTAAACAGTAGAACAGTTACATCTAGAGCACACCACATCATCCTTCATCTGGAATGCACTGTCTGGAATATTGGCCAGGAGTCAGGAACCCGAAGGCGTTTTGTACGCGCAACGTATCTGCGAAGAAATTGCCATGAAAAGCAATTGATAATGCTATTCAGCTGGTGGCTGCTCCGGGAATGCCCGTGTCCGACTCAGAGACTCGAATCAATATAAAAAACAGTTGACGTGATCTTGCAGCCACTCTGCCAGTGAACGGCGAAGGGCACGGGGCTGGTCCAGCCCGTGGTCCGAGACGGAATGACGGAGGAAGGCCTCCCATCGATGATAGTCGACGGGGGCGTGGTGCGCGTGCGCGTCCTGGAGCACGAGCCGCTTCTGCGGCGCGAGCGAGGAGTATCTTGATTCGACCAGGCGTGGGCCCACGGGTGCGAGGCCCGATGTAGGGCGACGGAATCTATACATACTCACTGCTCCTCCTCCTCCTCCTCCTCCTCCTCCTCCAAGCCCGTCCTGAACCCAGCAACTGTGTATACGCCACGCCCTCCTGGCTTGGCCGGGAAGGCGTATACGCAGCTCCTTGGTTCAGCATGGCCTTGGAGGAAGAGGAGGAGGAGGAGGAGGAGGAGGAGGAGGAGGAGGAGGAGGAGGAGGAGGAGGCCAGGCCGGGGGGCAGTGGACATGCATAGATGTCGCCGCCCGACGATGCCGAAGCCGACATCAGGCTCGCTGTGCCTGCGGCCGCGGCGGCGGCGACCACGCCGACGCCAGAGACGCCGAGAAGGGGCGTGGGAGCGGCGCGCTCGGGCCCCGAGGGGGCAGCTGCTCGGGCAGCGGCGTCCCACGACTGGGGCCGCGCCAGAGAAGGTGCCGAAGCTGGCCGGGGCAGCTGGACAGAAGGCGAACGTCGCTTTATCTGGCGTGTCGACATTCGGCGCAAGGGGGGGGGGGGTCTGGCTCCGGACCTCTGCTCAGTGCAGCTGCTTGCAGCAGTGCGTCCAAAATTATGGGGGAGGCTCCACCTGCTCGCAACGGGCGCTAGAAACAGTCAAGATCTACTCCGTGGGGGGGGGGGAGAGGGGGGGGGTGCGGGGGCCCGCGCCGATCGGCAAAAAAACGAATAGAAAGAAAAACGACCACAAGCCGAATTCCAAGTCGGTCCCGATCGAGAATAGGCGGCGCGCCCGGGGGGGAAGCGAGAAGGGGCGGGCCTACTCAGAAGGCTCGGGCGTCCCCCGGCCCTCTGAGAAGTTTCCTGGGCCTTCCCCGAAGGCGCCGAGACAAACACTTCTCAGAAGGCGTGAGGGCCTCCGAGAAGCCCCGCCGCCCTCTGAGAAGGCCTTCTCCTTCTCGTTTCCCCCCCATATCGAGGAGGAGGAAGAGGAGGAAGAGGAGGAGGAGGAGGAGGAGGAGGAGGAGGAGGAGGAGGAGGGGGAGGAGGAGGAGGAGGAGTCGGGGGCTTCCTCCTGCACCTCCTGCCTTCCCCGTCGCCGCCGGAGCCAGGCCTCGTCGAGGAGCAGAGCGCAGGGCGGCGCGCAGGCGCTGAGCGCAGGCGCTCCTGGACCCGCGCGCGCGCGGGCCACGGGGAAGAGCCGTGGCTTCCCGCGCGAGGGGCGGCGGCTCCTCGGCGGCCGTCGGCCGCACCACACACCGGGGAGAGCGAGAGTCGGGTCGGGGGGGAGGGGGGGATAGCAAAGGGGGGGTTTGAGAATCAGCTCACGCAGCTGATTTTCCAGCGCCTCCCGGCGCCGGAGGCGGCTACGTATCGAGGAATGGACCCCTCGGTGAGGCCGAAAACAGCTGCATGCAGCAAAAATTTCGTACCCCCCCCTTTCCCAATCCCCCCCTTTCGCCCAGCCCGAATGGAGGATGAGGAGGAGGAGGAGGAGGAGGAGGAGGAGGGGGAGGAGGAGGGGGAGGAGGGGGAGGGGGAGGAGGAGGAGGAGGAGGAATGGAGGAGGAGGGTCGAGAGAGCGAGAGAGCGAGAGAGAGCCTGGGCCCGCTTCCGGCAGGGGCGCCCGCGGAGGGGCGAAGAGGAGGCGGCCTCGTCGGAGCTCCGCTGCCCCCGAGGCGCAGCACGCGGCACGTGGCGCACGGACACGGAGCTCAGCACGCAGGCCGAAAACGTAGGCCCGACGCGATACACTCGCCGAAGCGTGGCCCAATACGTGGAGCCAACACGCAGCGTCTTGACACGGACGTCTTGAGCACGGGAGGTACTGCGTTTCGAAACGGGCGTATCGAGGCAACCAAGCGTCGGAGAGGCTGAACGACGGCCGCTCGCTCCTCACGGCCGTTGGCGACTCTGCCGTCGAGCCACCCCGACGTGGTGGGCTGGAGCAGCTGGCCGGGCTGGCGGTCGGCCCACGGCAGGGCCGAGCGGGGGTCTCGGGGCACGGAGGAGCGGCACTCCGAAGCGAAGCTCTGGACAGCCGCCATGGCACGGTGTCGTGGCTCCGACCACGTCGCGAAGCGGAGCGCGAAGAGAAGCTGAGGCCAAGGCTCGTCCACCCATGACCGACGAGGCAATGTCCGTAGCTCGGCGGCTGGTCTGCCACTTCAGCCGTGTCGAGCGGATCCACCGGCGAAACGGACGCGAAGAACGCAATACTCACGAGGGCGACCGTGGTCGGGAAGCGGAAGGATGACCGGATGACTATCCAGACTTCGTGGCAAAATCAGAGACACTGACGCAACGGTACGTGTCATTTACCCAGATACGTTCACGGATTTTTCGAATACCAGAGATGCAAGACTCAGATTCTGTGCGAAAGCAATCATGGAAAACACATGGATCGCGACAATCCGGAGCTCGGCGAAGCGATCGCGGACCGCTACCCTTCGAAGCGCAGATGGACCCATCGAGCTGGTCGTCCGTGCCAAAGTGAGATGGATCCATCGAGCTGGTCGTCCGCGAGGAAGCTATGGTCGGAATGCTTCGAAGTGCTCACCGCTCCCCTCGAGGAACCGCGGGCAGGGCAGAGTCAAAGTGAGATGGACCCATCGAGCTGGTTGTCCGCGACGAAGCTATGGTCGGAATGCTTCAAAGTGCTCACCGCTCTCCTCGAGGAACCGCGGACAGGGAAGAGCCCAGAAAAGCCGGCTCAGAAAGAAGAACGGGAGCGCCTGCCAAGAACGACGCGGTTCTAGCCGACGAGCCCGCAGGGGATGCTGCTTCCAGCGGAGCTCTAGCAGCACTTGGGCCTCATGATAGGATGGTCGGTATACTCGGGAGCGGCCAAGAGTGGGGTGTCCAAGAGGGGGGGGTGCAAATCATGACCGGCGGCATGTGCGCGGCCCAGCGGGGGGGCCAGGGACGTAATGAAATAAGAAGAGGCGCCATAAAATCGGAGGAAATATCATGGCCCCCGCCATGATATCCACCCCCCCCCTAGTCATCCCCCCCCTCTTTGCCGCCCCCGATATACGCTGCAAGACTTCCTTGCGATGCTCAAGGCAGACTGCTAGGACCCGAGCGATGAACGAGCGGGACCTCAACTTAGCAAAACCATGCTCCAGCCACTTCTCCGCCAGCAGCGGGTAGCAGGTCCTTCGCAAGGTCAACCATATGCAATATCCACGGACGATCTACACAAGAACTTGCTCCAACAACTCGCGAAACGCAGCAGCTTGCTCCAGCGGCCAGTCAGGCCCCCCACGCTAGCCCGGGAATTAACTTCGCCGAGCAGTATCTGGTGGACCGGGCTTCGAAGATTCAGGGAGGCACCCCTCACGCGAGGAGAGACTCTACGCGGAAGCTCCACAGGAGGATGACCAGAGCGCCGCACTCCGACCTTGACAGGGCAGCGCCAGGCTTCAGGACTCCCCGCGCCAGAGCCAACGTCCAGCAGCTGGCGGTGACCTCAGCGAACCACACTCCCTAGACATCTTGTTAATCATGTACTGCTGTTCGCCGCCACCGTGTCGCCACCACCGCGCCATAAGATTACTCTCGTAGTATTTCGGCTGGCCCGCTTACGTGAAACCAGTAGTTTCAGCATATGAGAACTTACATTCATCTCATCATCCTGTGCCTGTTTTTGGCTCAAGACGCTTGGCGAATGCCAGCGTGAATATTGTACTTTTGAGATTGGCTATCCGTTCACCGGCCCAGCTGGAACGTTTCACTGTTACACCTGGATCACAACACGTTGTTCTTTATCTGGAGTCTGATAGCTGGAATCATTTGCAGGAGCCGGGGATCCGAAGACGATTTTCAAGCGCAGCGTACCTTCAATAAGTTGCAAGGACCAGTAGTGATAGTGCTATTTATCCCCACGACGGCCCAGAGGGGTCCCCACGAAGGCCAAGAGGCCCCTAAGCGGCCCCAAGAGGCCCTCAGGCCCTAAGATTCCCCCACGATGCTTCCTTTTCCTTCTCCTCCTCCTCTTCCTCCTCTCATCCTCCCGCAAGTGTTCCCCCTAGGGCTTTCACAACGGCTGGTGGAACACATCGCCCAACAGCACGGCCATACTTAGGCCCAGCGTTTGGCCGCATGGGCGTTTCCAAAAGGCTGGGTGCGGCGGTGGTTCGCCGTATGCGTCTTCGATACAAGTCCTGGCCGCCTGCCAGGCAACGTGTATAACCCGTGCAGCCGTGCAGCACCCGATGCGCAGGCCGTCTTTGAGCACTGCTTGTTCGAAACGGTTCAGCGCGCCTGATTTAAAACGATTTGTAATGCACTTCCTAATCGTCCTTTTCGCTGGTCAGAAGCAACATCTGGAAATCTTCGTCGGTGAATGTCGTCAGCAGCGCCAACCTGTCGATTATATTCTTGTACTTCCTCCAGATCCGCATTGCTACCCAAGAATTCCACATGTCGATCTTGATCAAAGCCTCGTCGGTGAATGTGCACGAAGGACCTCCAAACACGAAGCGGTAGACTCTCTTCCTGACGATCCAAGTGAGCTGCATCACCCCCAGTATCTGATTGAGCAACATCGCCGATCCATACAATCTATCGGGTGTCAGGTCTGCTTTGTCTACGATGAAATGCTGCGCTGCCTGGCGAAATTTAACCAGGAACGCGTCGAAACCGATTATGAAGCTTAATATCCGCTGCCGCGCTTGCAGCGTGGCAGGTGTGCGTCATGCAGATACTGCTCCTTGCGGAGCAACAGTCAGGGTCCCCCTGGCCAAGCTCCCCCCTAAGAGGAATCATTTTTGAAGCACACTGCCGCAGCACTTCTCCTCTCCAGAAGCTAAGTGCCAACTTTACACTGTCGTGGGTGTGCTCCCTTGGTGGCGTTTCGCCCCCCGGACACCCCCTATGACTCCCGAAAAGACGCCCATAAACGGCTCACGCTTAACCTCAGCAGGCGAGGCCGTCGCCAGACGTGCCTGGAAACGGCCCCTTGATCCCGAGAGACGGGTTCAAGACCACCTCCTCCACGCTGAGAAGACCGTCAGCGATGGCCCGAACACTCCCCTAAAGCGCCCCATGGAGCCCCCAAGGAGCCCTGCTGGAGGACCCCGGCCGGCCTCACCTTTGAAGCGCACGCCGTTCCTGAATGCTCTTGCTGTCCAAGGCCTGGGCCAGCGCGTCGTCTCGTGACGGCCTGGGGACCCTCCCAGGCGGCTCTAGAAATCGCTCGGACAGCTCCGGGAGACCGACCAGAGCTCTCCCAAGACGGCCGCAGAGCCTGCCCGAACACGGGCCCAGGACGGCCGAGGGCTTGCCCCACGCGGCTCCGAGAGCCCGACGAAGAGCCTCCAAGGAGGCCCCAGGACCCTTGGGATTCCCCCGCGCGAACGCAAGACCATGGCAGACGGTCGGAGAGCTCCACGGCACCACCCAAGAGGCATACCGTGCCACGCCTGCAGCGTTGCTCTGCGCAGCCTTCCCCCGACGCAGTGGCGGGGATGCGCGGCAGCGCAACTCGATAGCGAAGAGGATGTACCGCATCGCACGGCAGTAATCAGGATGCTCACGCCCAGTCAGCGCTGACATCACATTTGCAACGAAAACCTTCGGCGTGATATAGAACAGCAGCTGCATGCCACTGAACACTGATATCGTCCCAAGTTGCTCGAAAAACACGGACTGAACCTGCCACCAGCGTTTCCACCCTGTGTTTGAGCAGATGATGATGAGGCTGTAGATGAGACGCAACCAGAGGCCCGCCAGTATCAAAATCTCCAAGCTGCTCAGGAGCAGGAATGAATCATACTCTAACCTAGGGGTGGGCTCTCCCTCCTCCTCCTCCTCGTCTGTCTTTGCCCCCCTCATCCTTGTGCTGCTGCTGACCACCCTCCTCCTCCAACGACTCAACTCTCAAGCACTGGGAGCACCTCAAATCAGCGTGTCGTTACGTCTCCAATGGTCGTCGGCTGACACCCCAGACCCTTCGCAACTTTTCTGGACGGGGATTATCACCTGGCTCTGTCCAATTCGAAAAAGAACTCAGACTACAAGTGCCGCAAGAAACCATACCCTGGACTCGCATATGTAATGGGGGTCGGTGGGAAACCCGGCCTCTTGCGAAGGGTCTTGACCCGCTGGCAGACGCTTGACGAAATGTATGCCCTCACCCAAACACTTGTATATTTTTACGCACGTCCGAACTGTGTGATGCTCCCAGTCAATGTCACTTGTCAGGCGACCAATTTTGGTTGTGAACATGGCCCCTCGTTGTCCCAGCATGCTCGAGAATCCATCTCTTATAGTGTTGATGAGCAGGAAATCCTCCTTCTTCTCGGATGTCTTCTCCTCCGAGGTCACTTTGTGGAAAACGTGGGCAATGAAGTGCGTGTTGATGGGCAAACTCAACATGGGCCGAAGACGGACCCGGACGGACGAGAAATTCTGCTTTCCACCAGCACGAACCGCGACAACACCTACCACCTCTGAGCTGCATGGATGAGGAGGGGCAGCGATAGGGGGGGACTGGCATAGGGGGGGATGCATCGACCTGGAATCGGCGATACATCGCCGATAGATCGGCGATAGGCCCCCGATAATGAATCCGCACCTTCCTGGGCAGGTTGGGGCTATCGGGCCCCTATCGGCGATCAATGGGCGATTGCGTGTCGATGTATCCCCCCCTATGCCTATCCCCTATTGTTGCCCCAATGCCGCGAGGCTCTCCTGGCGTTCATGTTTAGCTCCCGCCAAGATGGGATCTATGGCTTGGTGACTGGCCTGGCGGCCTCAAACCCCCCAAGGTCTCCACCCTTTCCCCGGGACCGGTTTGCCATTTTCGGGGGCGCGCAAATATGGACTAGCGATCCATGGATTTGGCGCGCGGTCGCGAAATCCATGGATCGGGGGAGGTGCCCTCCCCCAAATGCGGCTGGTGCCGCCTCGCTCGGCGTCGGAAATCCGCGATTTCCCATGGAAACGGCACCCGTCGCTAATCCACGCCCCCTTGATCCATGTTTGCGATCGCCTGACATTTCATCCACACTAATGTTCTGACTGTCCTGGGGCCTGGCGAGGGCCCCCAGAGGTCGAAAACAGCACAACCCTTCCCATCGTGTTTGTTGTTCGTAGCGCGAGGGGGTCTCGGGGCTTCCATCTTACCCCACGTGTGCGCAAGCATCGATGTGTCAACCTTTTATATATGTATATATGTTTGTCACATTTGGGCAAAATAATTCCCCCCCGCTGCGGGTGGCCATCTTGCAAAGCGACCTTGACACGACTGCTCTGCCGTAAATTTTGCGCGCAACAGCGTGCGACGCCGATGTGAAACTCTCCGAGGAGGCCAGCTGCTGGCGACGGCCACATCGCCCTCCGTGGCTCCAAACTACCTCGCAGGCCATTCTCAGTACCCACTGCCTACTTTTCCCTCGAGCCACTTACCCTGGAGCTACCAGACTAAACGCGCAGCGGCGGCAGGGAATGGATCAGGAACTCGCCTCTAGAGCCCAGCTTGAATTTGCCCAGATTAATGCGCAAGATGCCCACACCGAGGCTGCACTGAGAAGCCGCGAGAAGTGCCAAAGCTTGTCGGTCTCGGCCTCCTTTGTGCCCGTAATGAGGCTCACGCCGCCGTCTTGGTTCACTACCAGGTGTTCGAAGAATACCGGCGGCTCGCCCGCGGCGTCCGAATTCAGCAAGTGCTTCCACGCTGTCTGCTCGTCTTGCCAAATTTCCAAAGGGGAGCAGAGCGAGGACGGGGTCTACGAAGACGATTCGGAACGAATTGCATCTGTGTTCCCGCTTAACAGCGAATGCTGCAAACGCGTGACTATCTTGCCGACGCCGTCCCTGCAATGTTCGGCGTAATCGATTTTGCACGTTAGGGGTTTCGTATGTGCTGTGATATGCCTATGATGCCTGGTGCATGGTCGTGCGTCTGGCGCTGCGTACATGGTGAAATGTGCCTAGCGTCGTGCGCGTGGCGTGCTGCTCTTGGTGCCGTGTGGGCCTTCGTCGAAATCGAAAACGTTTTGGGGCGCCACTGTCTATGTAATCAATATTTCGCTCATGACCGACAGACAAAATAGCAACTCACAACGGGAGGGGAAACGGCACACGTAAGGCATCCGAAACGGAGCACACTGACATCCACAATGCGGAACAAACGAGATGTGTCAAACATTGCACATGCGACGCGGCTGTACATAACTCTTAGTGCAGGCGGGGGAACAACGCACAATCTAGCCCTCGAAACTGGCCTGGAACTAAAATCAGGAACACATCCAATGTATACCGTTACTAATGACCAAAACAATCGAACAACGATACAGAGAAACTGTCGGACATATACGATGCTGGAAACATAATGTGCGGGGGAAGGAGGTAGGAGCCTTGATCTATGCGATTGCAACCACTCTTTTCCCAACATCCTTTGTTGAGTTGGGTCTTCGTTTTGAATACGTATCGCCCCGCATCCTCTCCTCTTCTCATCCCTCCTACCCCTCCTCCCTCCTCCTGCTTCTGCCCTCCGCATGTCAACATCGGCGCACCCCTCACACGTTTCGTGGCCCCATGGGGAGCTCCACCTAAGGCCCAAACATCTGCGCCCGCATGCCTGGTCCACGCCACTTCGGCGCGCAAGCCTCACTCATGGTCCCATAAGGAGCTCCACCGGAAGCCCAACGAGCTGTGCCCGCATGACCGGTCCACGCTGTTTCGGCGCACCACTTAGACGTTTCTCGTGGCCCCGTAGGGGGCTCCAACTCAGGCCAAGACATCTGCGCCCACATGCCTGGTCGACGCCATTTCGGCGCACACCTCACGCGTTTCGTGGTCCCATAAAGAGCTCCACCGAAGGCACAACAAGCCCGCATGCCTGGCCCACGCCATGTCGGCGCACCCCTCGCACGTTTCGAGGCCCCATAAGAAAATCTACCTAAGGCCCAAAAATCCGCGCTCGCATGCATGATGAACGCAATTATTTCGGCGTACCCCTTACACGTTTCGTGGCCCCATATGGAGCTCCACGTACGGCCCAAACCTCTGCGCCGCCGGCTTGCCTGGTCTACGCCATTTCGTCGCCGCATGCGGCCCCCCCGGGGCCGCACCGACAGACGTGCAAATCAGCCGCAACGGGTTACATCCAAACGTAACCCGTTACGGCCGACCTTTGCGACCGCATCAGCAACGTCGCTCCGTCCTTCCCACGCACACACCTTAATCCTTTTGCACCCCCCTTTCCATAGTTTCTAGCTGTCTTGCGGTACTCGCAACTGCACGTCGTTGAGTCCTTCGCCACACATTTTCACATTTATTGTGGTTCCCTATTATCTAATTGAAACACGCACCGTGTGTAACAGACAAAGGCACGTAGACACTGTTTCAACCTTAATATTGGTTTTACTTGGTACAACGCGGCTGTACGGCCCGACGGAACCGGTGATACTATTCACCGCACTTGAAATTTTACATGACGAGTTCCATTGTATTGATTTACGCACTGATTTTACATCTGAGCGATTTCTAAAGGCGGCGCGTACTATGGTGGCAGCGTGAACTTACCATAAAACAGAAAGCAAGGTCACACAGCACACCACATTTTTATCCGAATTTCAACTGGGGAATTAAGAAACACAACCTAACACCTGTGACCATAGTTTGTTTCCTCCTTCATTTCTTTACAGAGAACTATTCTAAAAAGACAGAACACATCAGCGTAATGACAACTGCACGTTCCCAACTGTCTTCTTTCAATCTTCTTACTGCAAAACCAATGTTTTCTCAACGTTAGTTTAGGGTATTGATTCCAACCATCCTGTGGTGTTGGGTCCTCGTTTTGAAGAAACAGCGCCCTGCGTCTCCTCTCCTCTCCTCCTTCCTCCTCCTGCCCCTCCTCCCTCTTGCCTCTGCCCTCCGCATGTCTCTGTCTCGGCACATCCCTCACGCGTTCCGTGGCCCCATAGGGAGCTCCACCTAAGGCTCTAATTGCAGCGCCCGGGTGGCACCACCGCGCCCTTTTCGGCACACCCCTCACACGTTTCATGCCCCATAGGGAGCTCCACCTAAGGCCCCAAAGGCAGCGCCCGCATGGCACCACCGCACCCGTTTCGGCACATCTCTCACGCGCTTCGTGGCCCCATAGGGAGCTCCAGGCCCCAGAGGCAACGCCAGAATGGCACCACCGCGCGCGTTTTGGCACATCCCTCGCACGTTCCGGGCCGCATAAGGAGCTCCACCGAAGGCCCCAGTGGCAGCGCCCGCATGGCACAACCGCGACCGTTTCTGCACACCCCTCACACGTTTCGAGGCCCCATAGGGAGCTGCACCCAAGGCCCCAATGGCAACGCCCGCATGGCACCACCGCACACGTTTCGGCACACCCCTCACGCGTCTCGTGCATAGGGAGCTCCACCTCAGGCCCCAACGGCAGCGCCCGCATGGCACCACCGCGCCCTTTTCGGCACACCCCTCACACGTTTCGTGCCCCATAGGGAGCTCCACCTGATGCCTCAAAGGCTGTGCTCGCATACATGGTCCATGCCATTTCGGGGCACCCCTCACACGTTTCGTGGTCCCACAGGGAGCTACACCTGAGGCCCCAGAGGCTGGGCTCGCATACCCGGTCCGCACCATTTCGCGCTCAAACGTTTTGTGGCCCCATAGGGAGCTCCACCTAAGGCCCCAGAAGCTAAATTCGCACGCATGGTCCACACCATCTCGGCGCACCCGTCACACGTCGCGTGGCCCCATGGGAAGCTCCACCTAAGTCCAGCAGCTGGGTTCGCACACCAGGTCCACACCATTTCGGCGTGGCCCTATAACAGGGGGCTCCACATTCGGCCCCAACTGCTGGGTTCGCATACCTGGTCCACACCATATTGGGGCATCCTCACACGTTTCATAGCCCCATAAGAAGGCCCCAGAAACTGGGTTCGCAGATCTGGTCCACACTATTTCGGCGCACCCCTCACACGTTCCGTGGCCCCACCACGGAGCTCCACCGAACACCGCAATGCCAAGAATCGCACGCGTGACCGCGCCCATGTCGGCACACCTTTCACACGCTTTGTGGCCCGTAGGGAGCGCCACCGAAACCACCACCGCATGCTCCCCCCCTGGACCGCGCCGACAGACGCGCAGATCAGCCGTAACGGGTTGCATTCAAATGTAACCCATCACGGCCGACCTCTGCGACCACATCACCAACGTCGCTCCGTCCTTCCCACGCACGAATTAATCTTTTTGCTAGCCCCTTCTCATTTTTTCCACCTGTCCTGCGGTAGTCGCGGCTGCATATGGTTGGGCCTTTCGCCATTTTTTGTTTGGTAGGTTTGATGTTTGTTTGTTTGTTTGCTTGCGTGCGTATAGCTGTGTATGTGTATATATGTGTACACGTGCATACCTACACATATGTATATGTGTGTGCATACGTTTATATATATATATGTATATGTATATACGTATCTTCCCCCCACTACCTAAATGGGGCTCCTTTTTCTATGGACATCCCCTGCGCAAGGACTCGAACACCCCTCCACATCATCATCGTCATCATCATGCTCCATCACCATCAATCAACACTGACATCATCCCATCATGACCACGGCTCATCTCATCATCACACAATGTTTTCACACTCGCCACCACCACCACACCATCATCGTCATCACACCATGTACCCGAACTCACTCACGCACCCACGCATTCATCTTCAGGAATCCTCGAGCGGGAATGTTGGGTGTGAGTGAATCGCGATGAAATCTCAACTGGAAGTCTCCTCCCTGTGGGGCCAGCAACTCATGTTACTAATCCGAACGGGTCGTCGGACACCTGTAGCTGTAGTCACTCTTCGCCCCCTGAAGCTTAGGTATAGAGGAAATCGCAACCGGGAGTCTCGTCTGTGGGTGAAACACGAAGACGTCTCAAGTGAGAGACACGTCCCTACGGGGCCCGCATTTCATGTTGTCAATCCGAACGGGTCATCGCATACGTGCAACTGTCGTCTATGTTTGGCTCCTGCAATTTGAACATGAAAGACGTGACGTCTCAGGCGGGAGCCTCGTGTGTGTGAATTGCGAGAGGTCTCAACCCGAAATCCTTGTTTTATGGGGCCCGCATCTCATGTTAGTAAGCAGGACGTGTCTCCGAAAACCTGTAAATGTCGTCATTTTGCCTTCGCCGAGCTTGAATCTGGAGGAAGTTTCGGGCGGGAGCCTGGTCTGTGAGTGAATCGCGGTGAAATGTCAAGCGGGAGCCCCTTCTTCGTGGGGCCAACATGTCGATACTAGTCCGAACGAATTATCAGGAACTGGTAACCGCTTTAGTTGTTAGCCTCTTCGAGCTGTAGTACGGAGGACATCTCAGGCGGGAACCTCGTGTGTGAACGAATTGCTGGAAGCCTCGGGCGGGGGGCTCTTCCTTATGGGCCCGCAAGTCATGTTACTAATCCGAACGGGTTATCGGAAACATGTAGCCGTGGTCATTTTTTGGCTCGTGAAATATGGACACGAAGGGCATCTCAGGCGGGAGCCTCGTGTGTGAGTGATTTGCGAAGAAATCTCGAACGGCAGCCAATCGGCTCGTCAGCGAAAAAGTCGCGAAACATTTTGAAGGGAAATTCAATTGGCGGAGAGCATCTGCTTCGGCGGGTCGACAGCGCCAAAAGCTTTGACCGCCAATTCCCCGATGTCTTCGGCTTGGTGGAAGAGGTTGCGCGTCCTACCGCAACGCACCCCTCGTGACGCGGCGGCTGGCGGCGGCGGGCGGAGGACGGGCCAGGGCCGGAGGTCGCAAAACTGCTGCTGCACGGAGCCGAGAGCGGCGACGACGACGGCGAGGCCGAGGCGTGGGCGGGGAGCTTGCTCATGCTCAGGCCCAGCGACCAGGAGTTCAGGTGGCAGAGCTCGGGGACGCACGTCGCGCGCCGCCCGTAGTTCACCCTCGAGCATGAGTCCTACCTGGCCTCTGCGCTGTCGCAGGGTCCGACGCTGCGCAAGGGCGTCACCATCGACTGCGCCTGGGATGACGACGCTGGTCGCACGGGCATGTCGGACGAGGAGTGATGACTGCACCTCACGTCGTGCTCTCCCGTGCCGCATGCGTGAGGAACATACTGATCCTGCGGCCGCCCACGCGAAGAGTTCCTGGAACGCGGGCCGTCGGCGTCCCTGCAGAAGGCGCTCATGGATTTCGAAAAAAAGGAACCCCAAGGCTGAAGCGGAGCAGCTCGCGGCAGAGCTGGGCTTCGCCTTGCCTCCCGCCTGAACGCGGCCGCGATTAGCTCGACACTTGCGGGGTTGTCCCAGCGCCTTGCTCCCGCGCCCCGCGGCTCGCGGGGTTGTTCGAACGATTTGGCCCGCGAAGTTACCCCATCGGCTCCTCGATCTGGCCATCTGGGAACGCGCCCATGCAGGCCGTGGCGGCCACGGCGCCGAGGACAATCGACTTGCGTACCGTTGCTAGAGCGGCGGGGGAAGAGGTGGATGGGAGAGAAAGGGGAAGAGGATGAGGAGGTAGAGCAGGGGGCGGGAAGAGTGCTTCCGCCAGGGTGAAAAGGACAAGTTTTACTTTCAAGTTAATTTGGGAAAGTATCGTGTGGTGTCTTACCCTCTGAGTAGTTCATGTCTTCCTGTTATCTTCTCCAGCCTTCCTGGTCACGAGGCGCCGCCACAACATATCCCCCGAACTTCACAAGGACGCCCTCCCGTAAAGGCTGCCGCGTAAGGGTTTTACTCGTGGGGAATTTGAAGAACAAAGGAACCGTTTTGTAAACGCTGTCCCACAAGGGTTTCAAGTATGTTGAATCTACACATCAAACAACTCCTTCGTGAGACGGTCTTCCATGTAGTCCCTTTGTAAGGCCGTCACAACAGGAAATTTCAAGTAAGGCCGCCAAAGGGTCATCACACGCATGACGACTGAGCTGATCCATAACGTGCCAAACACGAACAAATTGATCAACAAAGCCTTGTTGTAATCATGCAACAAATGGTCGGAACCAATAGGGGGGAGGGAATCGGACCAATGGAAAACGGAACAAACGAACACGTGCGTCAAGCTTGCTCTGACTGGTGCTCTGTGCCGCAAGGCTCAGCTCGAGCGTACTGTTCTCATGGTGCGATAGGCGCTGAGCCGTGTGCGTGGCGCCACGATGCCGCGGGCGTGTTGCCGTGCCACTCCGGGGCGGCGGGGGGGGGCCGCCCAGATCGCTGGAGCACCACGCCCCTCACCCGCCTCCCGTCCCCGCTCTGGGCCCCCCTCTGGTCTGGACACCTCGCTCTCGTCGCTGCTCTCCGTGTCGTTCGCGAGGAGCTGCGCGCCGCTTTTCGCGGCCATGCCTGGCGCAGCGTTCCTCCAGGGGCCGGCGGGGGCCGAAGAAAAGACCACGCCAAGCGCCCCCCCCCGCCCCTCGCGCGCTTCCGGAGGTACAATCGAAATGCTGTCTTAAGGAACACGGGATACGGAACAAGGCCCCTTCGCTTCCATAACTTAAACTTCGATGTTCCATGGAAGAGCTAATATCAAGCCGAAGAACACTTGCAAAACAACCAAGGGAACACTGAGCCCCTTCCCAAGGAAAAAGGTTCCTCCTTCAATGGCCCGACTGTGCAATCGTTGTGCTGCCATGAGGAGCGCTAGACACGGAACGAATGGCTTCTCGGGCCGCGGCGGTCCGCGGCTATATCGCATACACTACAATATAATTTCAACACGTATAATGTGAGTGAGACACTACGATGTGATACAACAACGCATGTTTTGTTATACTATGGTTTACTGAAGCGCGATACTATACAGCATTAAACCATACTCAAGCATTTTTCATATAGATATATATGTAAAAAAGTATGCACTATACCATGATCTGACACGGTACAACATACCACACTACATGATCACATATATCATATTATAATATAGTAGAACGTTTCAGAACATACTATGCCAGTCTACAACGTACCACACATTGAATTCTATACAGTATTATAACGTAATGCGATATGATATAACATCGAATATGAACATGTACTACACCATACCACAGGGTACTATAACATGATGTAGTATAGTATCGTACGGTATAAGCAAAACATGCACTTTACCAGACTATCTGCTATGACATACGTATGTGCGCATACACACCATATATATATACACACATAAAAATACATACACATACGCGCATACATTTGCATACACATATGCGTAACACAAAGCTCATCCATGCACGCAGCTGTTATAGTATAACATGTTGTGCCATACTATGCAATAGTACTTTAACTTACATTGTACTGACGTATATCATATTTACCTTGTTTCATCCTCCTATACAGTAGTTGTTTAAGCCGTTTTTTTTGTAATAGAGTACAAACTATTATGTTGTACTGCGTTATGTGATATTGTATTAGACTTGAATTACTTATAGTTATATATGATATGTAATCGTATATGGGATGCTATCATGTCATATCATTCTCCATTTTAATATATCATATTGTATGATACGTATGTATACTTAGATGTACACACTCATATACATATACATATGTATATACACACATGTATATATATATATATGTAAATATTTTTACACATGTATATATATATATATGTATATCGATACATTCCCCGTCCAGTAGGTCGATCCGATGGGGCGGCCCGGAGACCAGAGCCCCTCCCGAGACCAACGTGTTCTTCACTTCAGCGCCTCCTTTCCTTCCTCCAGAGCCTCCATCCAGAGCCCTCAGGGGCTCCGCCAGGGCCCCTGCCGGCCCTGAGCTCCCCCGCGTGCAGCCCTGACCGGGAGAGGGAGGCGGACAAGCCGCCGAGAGTGGGGAGACTGGAGCGGAGCGCGAGCCCCCAAGGGAACGACTCTCTGGGGGACGGGGGCATGCATCGTGCAACACTCAAGATGGGGTCTCGGCGCGTCCCGGTTAGAGTGTTTGTGTCACTGCTGCTTTTACTACCAGTGCCACCAGGAGAATCGGTGAACAATTAAACAAATCCTGGGGAAAGCGAGCGGATCCGAGGCGTACCTCGATCCACGATTCTCCTCCTGATCCCCCTCTGACTTGCCTGGCGTCAGTGGGTCGAGCCCTTGATCTGCTCGCTCAGGGCGCATCAAGTGCACGTACATTCACTTCCCATGCAGCGGGCGTGACCGAAGGGCAACGGGGTGACACGGCACTCGCATACCTGCTGGACGAGATGGCAGTTGGGCGAGTGGCAGTATTGGCAGGAGCATTCATAATCTCTTTCCTCCCCCTGATCCTCCTCCCCCTCCCCAATCTCTCAGCGCTGCGACAGCCATGGTCTGAGAGGGTACCTACCGCAAGTTGGAACCCTCTGAGCAACTTCGTAAGTACATCCAGGACTATGCCAAGCACATTTTTGCCCAACAAAGCTGGGCAAGCTTTTCGGTCAAATCTTCGGTGCACGTTGGGCCATGCTTGCAAAAATGGCCACGTGCACGTGCAGGCGGGGCATACGCAAGCTAGGCCAATTTCGCGGCTGTAGGCGACAAACTTCCAAGCCAGGTCGAAGAAGGAACACTCCGCGACCGTCTGGGCACATGTTTCTCTCTTGAGACAGCTCGTCGTCGTCGTCGTCGTCGTCGTCCCCTCTCGTCCCTCCTCCCCCACCTCCTCCCTCCTCTGCTGCTGCTGCTCCCTCCCCTCCTCGCTCCTGGCTCTCCCATCCCTCCTCCCTTGGCAGCCCGCCGCTGGGGACAGGCTGGAGGTGCTCTCCGCTTGAAGGCGGGATCGCATGCGCCAGGAGTGCTCGCGGGGCGCGCGCGGGCGCGGCAGCCCGAGGCGGCACCGCCGGAGGAAGGGGTGGTCCACCCATGGCTCGGCGGCGAGCGACAGTGGGGGGAGTGCGGCGGCTTGCCATCGGACGATCCTCGATGAGCGCAGGTGTGAGAAACAGTGCAGGCAAATGGTGAGGAAGAATAGGGACTGGCAAGTGTGCCATGCCTGAAACGGTGCCTCGTCCTGCGCGGGGGGGCGGGGGGAAATGAGAAGGAGAAGGCCTTCTCAGAAAGCGGCGGGACTTCTCAGATGCCTGCCGGTCTTCTGAGAAGTTTTTCCCAACCACCCTGGGGTGCTGGGTCCTCGTTTTGAAGAGACAGCGCCCCGCGTTCCTTCCTTCCTTCCTCCTCCCCCTCCTCCCTCCTGCCATCTGCCTCGGCCCACGGCATGTCCTCGTCGTCATCATCATCGTCATCATCGACGTCATCATCATCATCACCATCATCATCATCTTCGTTCTCATCCTCATCCTCATCCTCATCAAAATCACCACCATCATCATCATCATCATCATCATCATCAGCATCATCATCATCACCATCGACATTATCATCATCAGCATCAGCATCAGCATCAGCATCAGCATCATCATCATCATCAACATCATCAATATCAACATCATCAACATCATCAACATCATCATCATCATCATCATCATCATCATCATCATCAACATCATCATCATCATCATCACCGGAAGCAATTCAGCACATTCCTCACACGTTTCGTAGTCCCTTGGAGAGCTCCACCGAAGGACCCACTGGCAGGGCCCGCAAGCCGCCACGCAATGTCGGCACACCTCTCACGCGTTTCGTGGCCCCGTGGGGAGCTCCACCGAAGGCCCCAGTGGCCAGGACCGCATGCCCGCATGCCGCCAACTTGCCATTTCAGCACACTCCTCACACGTTTCGTAGTCTCTTAGGGAGCTCAACCGAAGGACCCAGTTGCAGAACCCGCATGCCGCCACCTCGCCATTTCAGCACACCTCTCACACGTTTCGCGGCCCCGTAGGGAGCTTCACCGAAGGCCCCAATGGCAAGGCCCGCATGCCGCCACGCAATGTCGGCACACCTCTCACGCGTTTCGTGGCTCCGTGGAGAGCTCCACCGAAGCCTCCAGTGGCAAGGCCCGCATGCCGCCAACTTGCACTTTCGGCACACCCTTCACACGTTTCGTGGCCCCGTAGGGGGCTCCACCGAAGGCCCCAGTGGCACGGCCCGCATGCCGCCACCTCGCCATTTCGGCACACCCCCTCACACGCTGCGTTGCCCCATAGGGAGCTCCACCGAAGGACCCAATGCCAAGGCCCGCATGCCGCCACCTTGCCATTTCGGCACACCCCTCAAACGTTTCGTAGCCCCGTAGGGAGCTCCACCGAAGGCCCCAAAGGCAAGGCCCGCGTGCCGCCACCTCGCAGTTTCGGCACACCCGTCACACGTGTCGTGGCCCCATAGGGAGCTCCACCGAAGGCCCCAATGGCTGCGTTCGCATGCGGTTCCACCCCCCATTTCGGCGAACCCCTCACGCGTTTCGTGGCCGCACAGGGTGCTCCACCTGAGGCCCCAGTGGCAGCCAGCGCCCGCATGCGGTTCCACCCCACATTTTGGGGCACCCTCGCACGTTTCGTGGCCTGAGGTGGCACCACCGAAGGCCGCAGCGGCAGGGTCCGCATGTCGGTGCCGCCCCATTTCCGCACACCCCTCGCACGTCTCGTGGCCCCATAGGGAGCTCCACCGAAAGCACCAATGGAAAAGGCCGCTTGTCGCCACCTCGCCATTTCGGCACACCCCCTCACGCGCTGCGTGGCCCCGTGGAGAGCTCCACCGAAGGCCCCAGTGGCCAGGACCGCATGCCCGCATGCCGCCAACTTGCCATTTCAGCACACTCCTCACACTTTTCGTAGTCTCTTAGGGGGCTCAACCGAAGGACCCAATTGCAGAACCCGCATGCCGCCACCTCGCCATTTCAGCACACCTCTCACACGTTTCGCAGCCCCATAAGGAGCTCCACCGAAGGCCCCAAAGGCAAGGCCCGCGTGCCGCCACCTCGCAATTTGGCACACCCGTCACACGTGTCGTGGCCCCATAGGGAGCTCCACCTGAGGCCCCAGTGGCTGCGTTAGCATGCGGTTCCAACCCACATATTGGGGCACCCTCGCACGTTTCGTGGCCTGAGGTGGCACCACCGAAGGCCGCAGCGGCAAGGTCCACATGTCGGTGCCGCCCCATTTCTGCACACCCCTCGCACGTCCCGTGGCCCCATAGGGAGCTCCATCGAAGGCCCCAATGGCAAAGCAACATGCCGCCACCTCGCAATTTGGCACACCCCTCGCACGTCCCGTGGCCCCATAGGGAACTCCACCGAAGGCCCCAGTGGCACGGCCCGCATGCCGCCACCTCGCCATTTCGGCACACCCCCTCACACGCTGCGTTGCCCCATAGGGAGCTCCACCGAAGGACCCAATGCCAAGGCCCGCATGCCGCCACCTTGCCATTTCGGCACACCCCTCAAACGTTTCGTAGCCCCGTAGGGAGCTCCACCGAAGGCCCCAATGGCAAGGTCAGCGTGCCGCCACCTCGCAATTTCGGCACACCCGTCACACGTGTCGTGGCCCCATAGGGAGCTCCACCGAAAGCCCCAATGGCTGCGTCCGCGTGCGGTTCCACCTCCATTTCGGCGAACCCCTCACGCGTTTCGTGGCCGCACAAGGTGCTCCACCTGAGGCCCCAGTGACAGCCAGCGCCCGCATGCGGTTCCATCCCACATTTTGGGGCACCCTCGCACGTTTCGTGGCCTGAGGTGGCACCACCGAAGGCCGCAGCGGCAAGGTCCGCATGTCGGTGCCGCCCCATTTCCGCACACCCCTCGCACGTCCCGTGGCCCCATAGGGAGCTCCATCGAAAGCACCAATGGAAAAGGCCGCTTGTCGCCACCTCGCCATTTCGGCACACCCCCTCACACGCTGCGTGGCCCCATGGGGAGCTCCACCGAAGGCCCCAGTGGCCAGGACCGCATGCCCGCATGCCGCCAACTTGCCATTTCAGCACACTCCTCACACGTTTCGTAATCTCTTAAGGAGCTCAACCAAAGGACACAGTTGCAGAACCCGCATGCCGCCACCTCGCCATTTCAGCACACCTCTCACACGTTTCGTAGCCCCATAAGGAGCTCCACCGAAGGCCCCAATGGCAAGGCAACGTGCCGCCACCTCGCAATTTGGCACACCCGTCACACGTTTCGTGGCCCCGTAGGGAGCTCCACCGACGGCCCCAATGACAAGGGCCGCATGCCGCCAACTTGCCAATTCGGCACGCCCCTCACACGTTTCGTAGTCCCATAAGGAGCTCCACCGAAAGCCCCAATGCCAAGGCCCGCATGCCGCCACCTCGCCATTTCGGCACACCCCTCAAACTTTCGTAGCCCCGTAGGGAGCTCCACCGCAAGCCCCAGTGGCAAGGCCCGCGTGCCGCCACCTCGCAATTTCGGTATATCCGTCACACGTGTCGTGGCCCCATAGGGAGCTCCACCGAAGGCCCCAATGGCTGCGTTCGCATGCGGTTCCACCCCCTGACTTCGGCGAACCCCTCACGCGTTCCGTGGCCGCACAGGGTGCTCCACCTGAGGCCCTAGTGGCAGCGCCCGCATGCGGTCCATCCCACATTTTGGCGCACCCTCGCACGTTTCGTGGCCTGAGGTGGCACCACCGAAGGCCGCAGCGGCAAGGTCCGCATGTCGGTGCCGCCCCATTTCCGCACACCCCTCGCACGTCTCGTGGCCCCACCGAAAGCCCCAGTGGAAAAGGCCGCTTGCCGCCGACTGGCCACTTTGGCACACCCCTCAACCGTTTCGTGGCCGCATAGGAGGATCCATCGAAGGTGGTACTCAGAACTGCGGTACGTATCAGTGCTTATGGTTGGATCCTTCGCCAGGCTAATTTTTCCACAGTCAGAGCTTGCTTCTGTAGGGGTCCTAGCGGATCCATATGGTTAAGTGAGCTTTGCCGCCGATTTCGGAGGCCCGCCCAGGTGCCCGGGTGCCTGGGTGCCTTATAGCCCTAAAGGCCAATAGCTCAATAGCCCTATAGCCCCATAGCACTATGGCCCTATAGCCCAATAGCCCTATATCCCTGAACCTTATAACCTTATAGTCTTTTAGCCCTATAGCTCTCTATGTGGCTATAACCCTATAGCCCCACAGCCCTATATCCCTATATCCCTATAGCCCTATAGCCCTATGATCCTATAGCCCTATATCCCCATAGCCCTATAGACTCGTAACCCTTTGGTCCTATAGCCCCATAGCCCCAGAGCCCCATCGCCCCACAGCCCTACAGCCCTACAGCCCTATAGCCCTATGGCCATATAGCCCTATAGCCATATAGCCCTATAACCTATAGCCCTGTGGCCCTATAGCCCTATAGCCCCATAGCCTTATAGCCCCATAGCCCCATCGCTTCATAGCCCCTACAGCCCTATAGCCCTGAAAAGACTGTGATTGTTGTTCTCTCTCCGGTATCATTGTGTCTTCGGGGGAGGCTAAGGGAGGGAGGGAGGGAGGGAGGGAGGGAGGGAGGGAGGGAGGGAGGGAGGGAGGGAGGAGGAGGAGGAGGAGGAGGAGGAGGAGGAGGAGGAGGGAGGAGGAGGAGGAGGAGAAGGCCCGCCCCTTCTCGTTTCTCCCGGGGCTCGCTGCCGAGTGGTGCGTCGGCCGCGGTCCTGCGGGGTGGTGGCCCGCACGACGCTCCGATGGGGCCAGGGCTGGGGCCGAAGGGAGGCGGCCAGGGGGCGATCAGTTTGCAGACCCTCGGGTGAGCAGTGAGGCCCTGCTGTCGGGCGGCGTCCTCAGACCGCCTCACTGATCTCCTGCACCAGCAGCGAGGACGGGCAGGCCAAGCCCGTCCCTTTCGTGCTCTACTGAGCGGGGGCCGCGGTCAGTGGGATCGGCCCTGAAGGCGAGATGGAGGAGGAGGAGGAGGAGGAGGAGGAGGAGGAGGAGGAGGAGGAGGAGGAGGAGGAGGAGGAGGAGGAGGCGGAGGCGGAGGAGGCGGAGGAGGAGGATGGGGAGGAGGAGGAGGAGGGGAGCCGACGTCGCCTGGCTCTGTGGGACGCCCCCGGGAGTGGCCACCCCTCCCTGCCCGTGGAGGACCCCGAGCGGATGGCTGCGCAGGCTGTCCGCTGGTGCGGGCGCCCGGGTGGGCGCTTCGGCTCCTCGTGCCCCAAGCACGGGCGGGCGGCGTCCGGGGCACCGAGGAGGGAGGGGGGGGGGGGCGAGCCCCTGTGCATCGCTCGGCCTGGTGCGTGCATTTCTTGTGCCAGGCGATCCAGGATGCTCCTGGATGGCCTCCGCAGAGAAAAGGTCGCACGCCCGAGCGATGTCGAGAGGATCGAAGACTTGCCCTCTGATGCCAGCGCGACCTGCTCGAAGCCCAGCTCGTGGCAGGCGACTGGGGCCGGCGGCCTGGCCTGGCGAGGGTAGGCCCCAAGCCTCTGCCAGCAGCCATGCGGCAGGTGGCTCGTCAGCAGGCGAGGCAGCGTGTCGACCCCGGCGTTGGTTCCTGACACCGCGGGGATCTTCAAACTTGAACGATCGGCCGTTTCCGTAACATGAAATCGTTCAACATGGTTCGATTCTGGATCGCCAGCGGTGGACAGGACGCGAACCTACCGTGCGCTGGAGTGCCTTGGGACGTGCACGGCCATAGGGTGGTTGAGGCGACGGTTGCTCTAGAATAAGAAGAACAACAAGCAAAAGCGGTCGCTGCCGAACCTCATCTTCTGCATGCGATGTGGGGCATCCGTGCGTGAGATGGTGCGACCGGGTGGGGGCCTTGCTGCTCCTTGCCGAAGACCAGGTCATGCCGGCTTGGCGACATCCCGGCGCAGGAGAGGCCTTCATCGCAACCTGTCGCCGCCGACACTTCGGCTGGGGCTGCACGAGGGCCGTCGTCGGCGTCCACGCACGGGAAGTGGATGGCCAAGCTGGGGTCAAGTGCTGCTGTCGGGAGCTCTTGCGTAGCGCGTGGCGGCGATGGCCCTGGCGACACGCCATGCCGTACAAGCTGATGGCGTGTCGCTCCGCTCCGTGGGGCGGAAGGCTGGGAAAAGCTCGCGCGCGCCGAAGGCACTCTGGAAGTGCCTTCGGGGCGGCGCAGGGGTGACCAAAAAATGGAGGTGTCTGCGTGCCAGGGCATTCTCTCTTGCGGAGTCGGGCGCCCTGGCGCGGACGGCCGAACGACCCCTGCAGCGGGACCCCCTGGCCACACGGTCGGCGCCGCAAAAACTGCGCGTGGGAGGAGGAGGGGGAGGAGGAGGAGGGGGAGGAGGAGGAGGAGGAGGAGGAGGAGGAGGAGGAGGAGGAGGAGCAGAAGGAGGAGGAGGAGGAGGAGGGCGAGGAGGAGGAGGAGGAGGAGGAGGAGGAGGAGGAGGAGGAGGAGGAGGAGGCGCCGAACGGCGCCGTGCTTGGCGTGTCGCGCCGCGGCGTGGTGGGCGCCAGAGCCATGCGGCGCGACACGCTGAGCCCCACGGCCGGGCCGTGAGTCTCCGAGCCCTGCGGCGAGGGCCCCTATGGTGCCGGGCGGGCTCCGCAGCGTGCAGCTTGGTGGGGATCGAGAGGCCGCGCTACCGCGCCATCGCTCGGACGTCCATTCCCTGTGTTTTTCTCGGTTTCGTGCGTGGTTTTTTCGCCAAATGATCAAGGATGCTCCTCGATGGTCCTCGCCGAAGAAAAAGTGCACACGTCCGAGCGATGCCAGGACTACACGGGCTTCCATCGCCTGACGCGGCGGCCTGTGGGGCGAGGCGAGGCAGGCAGCGGGAAGTTTCTGAGAGGGCCAGTGCTGCGGAAGCCGGCGTGAATACGCGACTGAGATATGTTATCGCCGACCGGGAGGTTCTTCGCAGTTGCGACTGGCTACCGTCTGCGACCAATGACTCTGACCCTTCGGGCCCTCCTTCTGCAGCCGACGAAGGGGACGAGGAGGATGCGGAGGAGGAGGACAATCCCCCTCCCTCCCCCGCTAATGCCCCTCCTCCTGCTCCGACGAGGACGATGCCGATGACGACGTCGACGTCGAAGACGAGGACGACGGCGATATCGACGACGACGACGATCCCAACAGTTCCGAGGACGACGATAGCAATGACTCTGGAAACGACGACGATGACCCCGATGACGAAAATAATGGAGTAACCCCGACGGCCCGGACGACCGCGACCCCGACGACAATAACGGCGGCGATGCCGACGACGACGATACCGACGACCCCGACGACGACGACGACGACGACGACGACGACGACGACGACGACGACGACGACGACGACGACGACGACGACGACGACGACGACGACGACGACGACGACGACAACGAGGGCGACCACGGCGGCGGCGGCCGCGGCCGCGGCGTCCTGACGGGGAAGTACTCCGCGACGCGGACGGTCGTGTGCGCCGTCTCCGCCGGCTACCCCCGGAGCTGCGGGGGCAGGCGAAAACGGGATGCGGGCCGACCGACCCCTGCCGTGGCGAGGCCCGCGCGTGCTGAGACCCTTCCGGCGGTGCCTCTCGAGGAGAGGGCCGTCGCAGAAGGGGTCAGCGTGCGAGGAGGAGGAGGCGGAGGAGGAGGAGGAGGAGGCGGCGGAGGAGGAGAAGGAGGAGGAGGACGAGGGGGAGGACGAGGGGGAGGAGGAGGAGGAGGAGGAGGAGGAGGAGGACGAGGAGGAGGAGGAGAAGGAGGAGGAGGCGGAGGAGGAGGAGGAAGAGGAGGAGGAGGAGGAGGGGTGCCAAGGGTCGGTCAGGCTGCCCCATGACGAGAGGGGGGGAGGGGACAACAAAAGGAGGGATCGGCGCATCAGCTCGCGCAACTGGTCTCAGGTCGGGCATGTCTTCTTACAGGCGGATTCCGGAAGAAAGATGACACATAGCCAAACAATGCGAAATAGTCGTCCCTGGACTGTTGTTTACTATTCTCGAATACTCCTCCTCTAGAGGGACACGCCCGACTGAAAGCTGGTCATGTCCCGCTCCCTCCCAGGCGCTGGAGGCGCCCGCGTGTTGAGAGGAGGGCGCCCGGCGGCACTGCCCAGACCGGTTAATCACGCGCATCGGAGCTCTTCGACACACCACCGCGACAAAACAGAACAACTGTTGTATGACCGATACACTCCCCTCCTTCTCAAGACTCCCATAAAAGGGGGCCCAAGGACACACACAAAGAAGTACACGCAAACCTCAGGATTCCCCACGTTTTCCTACATTTTCTGGTTTTTCGTCTTCCTCCCCCCCCACTGTCCATATTTTCCGATATTTTCCTGGGAGTCGACGATTCATTGTGTCTGTGTTTTTTCTCTTCCTTCTCAAGACTCCCAACATGACACATGGCTGATGGTGTTCGGCGGAGTAGCTTCGGTCCGTGCATGGCTCCAACTCTGTTGTTTCAAGAACGGCCCCGAAGTAGACTACTCCGCGCAAGACCGTATGATCCATCGCACGGGATGCCCCTTCACGCGGAGCAAATGCCACTCCACCTGATCCGCAGAACCGCAGCCATGGCGGAACTGACGAACACTTTCGCCACCGCGATGAAGAGAGAACGCTAGGGGGATGCTGGCTCAGGGGGGGAGTCGGCGGCCTGGAATCGGCGAGACATCGCCGATCGACTGGCGAGGGGCCCCCGATGGCGAACCCCTGCGCTTCTGGGCGGGGTGGGCCCTCGGGCCCCCGTCGGCCAGGAAGGGACACCATCGGGGTGCCGATGACGCCCCCCCTCTGGGCCTCATCCCCCCGCCCCCCCCCCCAGCGCTGCCCCCCCCTGGGGCGCCGCCCCCCCCCCCCCCCCCCTCGCGTCCGAGCCGAGCCCGGCCGCCGCCCGGCGCGCCCGCGGGGGCCGCGCCCCCCGCCCCCCCCGCGAAGGCGCCCGCCCCTCGGGCCAGAGCGGCTGCCGTCCACCGCGGGGGGCGCTGGCTGCGCGGAGGGGGCGCCGCGCGGCAGGCTCCGGGGCCAGCGGCCGCGCGCGCGCGCAGCGGGGGGGCGGCCGAGGAGCAGGCCAGAGGGGGGACACAGCTCCTGATGTACCGCTGCTCCTCCCCGGGGGGGCCCTCGTCGCCACAGCTGGCGGCTCCTCGAGCCGAGCTCAGAGGAGGCCTCCCCGGGTGGCGTCGGAGCAGCCGGGGCCGGAGGGTCGCGCCGCATGGTCGAGGCAGCACCGGCGCCTCGGCGACGCATCGGCGACGTCGGCAGTGCACTGGCGACGTCAGCGTGGAGCAAATCGGGCTCCACGCCGAGCCGCATCGCCGATGCGTCGGCGACGCGGCGCGATCCTCCGACCCGATCTGCTCGGACACCACCCAGGAGGCCCAGGTTCTATAGCTGATCTGAGCAGTGAGCCCCTCCGCGCCCTGGGTACGGGACGGATTGGAAGCCCATCCCCGGAGGGGAACAGCGCATTGTTTGTGCAGGGCTGGCGCCCTGCACCACCTGCGCCCAGAGGGCCTGTGTGTGTCTTCGCCCTCCCCTTCCCTACTCCTTACCCCTGTGCCCCCTGCTTCTCCTCCTTCCCCCCTCCCCCTGTTCTTCTTTGTCCTCCTCCTCCTCCTCCTCCTCCTCCTCCTCCTCCTCCTCCTCCCTCTTCCTTACTCCTTACCCCTGTGCCCCCTGCTTCTCCTCCTTCCCCCCCGCCTGCTCCGACCCCGTCTGGTCAGAATGCGCCCCGTGAGAGGTCCAGGGAGCGGATGTGTCGGTGTCTTCTTGCCCCCCGGCACGGGGCACGCGCCAGCGCACGAGGCCAGGAGCGAGGAGGAGGGAGGAGGGAGGAGGGAGGAGAGAGAGGGAGGAGAAAGAGGGAGGAGAAAGAGGGATGAGCAAGAGGATGAGGATGAGGATGAGGAGGAGGATGAGGATGATGATGAGGAGGAAGAGGAGGAGAATGATGATGATGATGATGATGATGATGATGATGATGATGATGATGATGATGATGATGATGATGATGATGATGATGATGATGATGATGAGGAGGAGGAGGAGGAGGAGGAGGAGGAGGAGGAGGAGGAGGAAGGGGTTTTGTCTTGCATTCGCATGCTCGTGCGGAGGCATTCCTCCGATTTGCTCCGGGGAGGAGGATGAGGAGGAAGAAGCAGGGAGCCGGGGAGGGAAGAACGCCCCACGCACGCTTGCCTTCGGCGACCGCCTTGACGCGGCGATCGCCTCGATCCGCGCTGGCGTGACCGTGCAAGGCGCACGACGCGCGCGGCCGTGGCTGGAGGGCACACGCGGCCCGGCTCGCCCGTGGAGCGCGCGGGGCCGTCACGTGCGGAGGGCCGTCGTGCCCGGCCCGCGGCCGCACCTGCACGCGGCCCTCGCCAAGTGCGCGCGGGGATCGGCCGTCGACGGCGGCGGCCGCGGGGGCCAAAAGGCGGGGGACGCGAGGGGTCGGGGCCCCCTCCGGGTCCCGAGCCTGGCTGACAGGTCGGCGCGTTCCCCCAGGGCGCCGACCACGGAATCGACCAAGGTCTCGGCCAGCGGCCCCGAGGGCAGTCGGAACGAGGCGCAAAGGGCGTGGGTCCAGAGCGTGTGCCTCTGCACGAAAAGCTCAAGGCCTCGTGGTGACACGCAAGACGAGGAGCACTCCGAGGCTGGACGGCCCCCACACCCGAAGAACGGGACGCGTCACCACCGAGGGCCATGCTGAACCCTCATTGCCAGCTGTGTCCGCCTTCCTGGAACAGAACTGGCCTCGCAGGCACAAAAAGATTGGCATCTCCTGGGGGCACGTCTTCACTTCTCCCTGTCTTCTGCTGGCGGAGCCGTCCTCGTTGCTTCTGCTGGCCTCTTGCGGGCTCCGCCGGCCTCCTGCCAGGGCGATGGGGGCCTCCGTGCGACTCCTCGACGACGAGGCCCTCTGTGGGACGCCCTCGCGATGTGGGCAGATGGCCGTCGTCCTCGTCGTCCTCGCGGTCCTCGTCGTCCGCGTCGTCCGCGTCGTCCGCGTCGTCCGGGACGTCCGCGTCGTCCTCGTCGTCCGCGTCGTCCGCGTCGTCCTCGTCGTCCGTCCCCAGAGCCGGGGCTCAGGCTGCTCCTCGGAGGAACGGCGGATGCGGGCCACGGGCAAATCGGGCGGGTGGCGGCGGGGCAGGGCCACGCCACGAGGGTCGGGGGTTGCTAAAGGTGCCCCTGGCTCGAGGTGCCCCCAGCTTCTCGCTCAATTTTGGAGCTCCTGGGGCCCTCTGGACCTCGTGAGGGGTGCTCTGGAGGCCGTGGTGGCCTCCTTGAAGATCCTGGGGGCACCTTGGGCCAGGGGCACCTCTAGCAACATCCGAAAGGCGGGCCTGCCCTGCCGGAGCCGTGGGCGTCCGTGCCGGCAGGGGCAGGCCTCGCCAAGGCCCCAGGGGGGCTGATGTCCGGAGGCCCCGAGCCAGGCCTCCGACGCCGCGGCTTCTCCGCGACGTGGGCCGCCGGACCCCTCCCCGATCCTCCTCCTCCTCCTCCTCCTCCTCCTGCTCCTCCTCCCCCCCCCTTTCCTCCTCCCCCTCCCTTTCCTCCTCCTCCTCCCCCTCCTTCCTCTCCTCCCTCTCCTCCTCCTCCTCCTCCTCCTCCTCCTCCTCCTCCTCCTCCTCCTCCTCCTCCTCCCTCCTTCCCCTCCCTTTCCTCCCTTCTCCTCCTTCCATCCTCCTCCTCCTCCTCCTCCTCCTCCTCCTCCTCCTCCTCCTCCTCACTCGCCGGATCCCTTGCCCCAGCATCGCCCTGTCATCCTGGCCCGCTCTGGAAGGCCCTGGGGGCCCGAGGCGGGGCCCCAGATGCCGCAACGAGGGAGCAGCTGGCTGGGCCGCCGCTACCTTTCACGGCGCCCAGGCGGTCCGGGCAGGACGTGTGAATTGGCGGAGGAGGAGGAGGAGGAGGAGGAGGAGGAGGAGGAGGAGGAGGAGGAGGAGGAGGAGGAGGAGGAGGAGAGGGAGGAAAGGGAGGAAAGGGAGGAAAGGGAGGAATTGGCCTCTCGTGCTCGCCATCGCTCGGACGTCCATTCCCCGTGCCTTTTTCGGCTTCGGGGGGGCACGTCCCCGCAAGAGGGCCCGAACGGCTCTTCGAGGGTCCTCGCCGGGAGGGGGTGCACACGCCCGAGCGATGCCGAGCTTGGGGGGCTCTGCCTTCGATCCTGCCCTCGCTCCCACCTGGCCTCCGCTGACGGGCCCGCCCTCGAGCTGCCATCGCCGTGCTGCCACCGGGAGGCCCAGACGAGGAAGCGCGAGGGTCTTCCGGCCACGGCGGGCCGCGGCCACGAAGAATCTTTCTCGGGCCCAGATCCACGGAGCGGCCCGAAGACCAAAGCCAGCGGAGCCCAGAGCATCCCATATCTCGGCGCCTTGCTGTGTATCCCCGCCGGTCGGTCACGCTCTGCGCCTATGTGCGTTTGCTTGCGAATTGAGTTCATTTTGTTCTGTGCATGTGCAACTGCGAGCGTGTCTTGCAAGTGCGAACTGGCTACCGACAGCGGCGGCTGTGTTCGCAAATTCGCTCCGTGCCGCATCCCGGACGCTGCGTCCGCTCCCTGACATTTGCCTTGGAGCCGCGAACCAACAAGTATCCCCGCCGGCTTCTGAAAGGGAGGGGGCAGAGGGCAGTTTCTAGCTCCCTCAACGAGGAAACATTCATCCTGGAGTGCACCAGATGGAGGAGGGGGAGTGGGCAGAGGGATGAGGGAAGAAGAACAACTATACATATATTTATATAAATGTGTATATATTTGTTAGGGGCGGGGGTTCTCAAGGGTTCTGCAAGCTTCAAGGTGTTTCCCGTACTGCAGCACGCAGGCCACGAAGATCGCCACACTAGAGAATACTGATGGAAAGCTTGGCCCGCTGCGAACTGGATGCGCGTGTCCTGTGTACGGCCCCCGAATCCAATTCCAAAAGGGCGCACGTCCAGGGAGGGCGCATCACAGGTACAGTCGGACCCAGGCCAGAGGAACATCCCGCAAGCACATGAGACCCTCCGTCGGCCAAAACAAACAGAATATCGGAGGGTACCCTCCCCAGGATGCGCAAGAACACCCCACAAACACGAAGAACACTAATTAGGGCACCCTCCCCGAACCGACATCGATCTTATACCTCGGTCCGACTGTACATCACTCTTTTCAGACAAAGACTTTTGTTAAAGAGAGGGGGAGGAGGAGGAGGAGGAGGAGGAGGAGGAGGAGGAGGAGGAGGAGGAGGAGGAGGAGGAGGAGGAGGAGGAGGAGGACCCTGGCCGATTTCGCCAGTGATGTCCTCGCAGTCCGCCTGTTCTATGGCCTGGGTGGCCCTTGGTTTTGCGGCGGCCCACGGCGCCCTTGCAAAATGCGCTCCGCCCATAGATTTTAAGCCGGGCAGGGGGATAGTGGACGAAAAACAAGAAATACCCCCAAATAATCAACAAATGTTCAAAAATATGAAGAATCGCCCCCAAACTATTTTTCTCCAAACAGCTTGCTGAACGGGGTGCTGTTGTGATAGAAGCTAATTCCGGCCGAGGGAAAGCTAAGCAGAGACATCCTCAAACAAATGTGGTGGTCCGGCCCGTTTCGCCTGAGACATCCTCACAACTCTCGTTTCTGAGTTGTCCGGGATTGAGCGTTTCGCCTGAGACATCCTCCTAAATCTGAGCTCTGAGAGGCCGCGCGAGAGGTGGTCCGGGCCGTTTCGCTTGAGACATCCTCGAAACTCTGAGCTCCCAGATGCCGCGCGAGAGGTGGTCCGGGCCGTTTCGCCTGAGACATCCTCGCAACTCTGAGCTCCAAGATGCCGCGCGCGAGGTGGTCCGGCCCGTTTCGCCTGAGACATCCTCGAAACTCTGATCTCCCCGATGCCGCGCGCGAGGTGGTCCGGCCCGTTTCGCCTGAGACATCCTCGAACTTCTGAGCTCTGAGATGCCCTGCGCGAGGTGGTCCGGCCCGTCTCGCCTGA